AGGATAAGAATAACAACATCAAAACATAGATTAATATCTCAAAATATCACCATGATACAAAAGAGTTCAAAGGAAGTGCACCGAATCCTAAGAGAATGAAGTTAGTCACTCATGTTGGTCATTACAATGCTCAAATTGTGGAAGAAGTGAAAAATTGATGAAGATTGGACGAAACCCTAGCAGTAATCGCGCCTCTTCTCCTCAAAAATCGCTTCCTTTTCTCAAAATACATCTTTTTTTTTATTTGAAAAATTTGGGTTTTTGGGTTTCACATCTTTCGCTCGAGCGAGAACTTTCGCTCAAGCGACAAAACGCTCGCTTGAGCGAATGAACTCCAGAGAAGAATAACTAACATTCGCTCAAGCGAATTTTCCTGCGCTTGAGCGACTGACTTCCAGAGAAGAATAACTGATATTCGCTTAAGCGAATCTTGGCTCGCTTGAGCGAGTGAATTCTAGAGAAGAATAACTAACATTCGCTCAAGCGAGAATCCATCTCGCTCGAGCAACTTCCATGCTGAAAATCTTCTTCCTTCTTCCAGTTTTATTCCAATTCTGCTATCAATTATGCTCCTTACTCTTGTATCAAGATATTTTTGAATTCATCCTATATTGGGAGAAAAATAGATTAGAATTAGCATCAGTTAAGTAGTTTCATAACAATTTAAGGTATAATTATATCAACTTTTTACCACTTAACACACAACTTTGAGTCATACCTACTTTTCCATTTTGAAATATCCAAAGTTATAAATATGAATGCATACCTTATAATTGGAGTTTAATAGTATTTTTATCAACTGTAGTTGTTAATCCTTAATCTAAATCTGTGTATGTGTTTGGTAAAAGCCAATGGTTAACTAGTTATCTAGTTGTACTAGGAACAATAGGTACTTGTGTATCTTTAAAAAAAGTTTTTAGTATGATGACGGAAAGAAAGTTGTATATTCTCGTGTTCTCAAAAGATGGTTTATATTGGATACTTTAAGATGTTATGGCTTTGAGAACAAGAATTTGCTTTTGTAGGTTGCCAAAAGTGGTTAGGTGAAGTGGAACAACTTATTAATATTGAAAGATACTTTTATGTCATGCACATAAGCTTACTATTCAATCATGTCAAAATACTATACAACATTTAATTGAATTTAGTGTTTCGCCAAAAATATTGGTTATTTATTATAGGTAATTGGTGAGTTGTAAAATCATTTGGCTAGGATGCCCTGCGTTTTGCATTACCAGTTGGAACAGTTAGTGAAGCACAATTGATATTATAATTTTTTTAAATATAATATATTAAGTTTTGACATATATATTCTACAAGAAAAACACTAAATAAGTAACCGAAAATTCGGTCACTAAATGACTAAAATCGATCACTAACTAAAATCAGTGATCTGAAATAGTGATCAATAGGAATCGATCACTATTTCCTTGGTGACTATTTTAATGATCGATTCGATGATCGATTTTGTGAATTACCAAATCGAGTCACTATATCTGGTCACTAATTTTATTTTATTTTTTTAATTTTTAAAATAACAATAAACTTGATTAAGGAATATAAAATACATTATATATTGTATTAAATATATCAAAATTACAATACGTGAGATAATCATCAAAATAATAACACAAATTTTGTTCTAAATAAATTCATCATTGATAGATTAAATATTTGCTTACATATTGAAAATTCAATCTAAAAATAAATAGAATAAACTAAAGTAAGAGTTAATTTTGGAGATGTCAAAAACTAATAAAACAAATACAATATATAGAATAGAAGTATGAGTTCACAATTCAAAAAGTTAAACATCCATTTTCTCCATCAAGAAGAGGAACAATATTATATCATTTTTCTGAATTTGTCTCTCATTAGTTAACATTTTTTCACGGAAATCATCCTTTTCAATCTCAACTTCCTGTAACTTGTGTTTTAATTGTTGCCCAACAAAATCTGGTTTCAGGATTTATTCCCTGCATAAAAAGAGCATGTCAAATGCAAACACATAAAGACTCTTTAAATATGATAAATCCAAACTTTACTGCAAAAGACAATTCTAGCACTTTAAGTTCAATACCAAATTTTCTAATAATTAAAATATACCAAATTTATCACAAGCCATTAATTAATCACATCCTGTGCTAGAAACAATTTCATCTATGCACATATATCTATGCATTTTTTCTATTTTTGTTGTTCAAATTTTGGACTTGTTTTAGCTTTTCTGCTTACCATTTTACCTTTTTCGTCAATATTTACTGTTGAACTTTAAATGAATTTTGAATTTCACCTATGTTATTTTGTTTTAATGCATTGACAAGTTCTGAGATGTTTTTAGTGTATCATATTGCCCTGTAGTTTGGTCTTGATCTCGATGTTAAAAGGAATTTATATATGACAAATTGGAGTATTGTGAGGTCATGCCCTTATTTTTCAAATGTTTGTAATCTAATAATTCTCTAGTAACCACTATATATTGGTCTTTGCTAAAGTGGAGAAGACTTTTTTTTTAATTGCCTCTTATTATGGACCGTGCAAAGACTTTTTTAATAGTTTGGTCGATCAAAATATACATTAACCCATCTATAGGTATTTGAATGCTATATTAATTTATTCCCGAGCAGCCATAGGTAATACTGACATACAAGGCTTTTCACAAAGAAAAACAAAGATGAGTGGTTTAAATAAGTCAAATTTAGCAATTCTGAAATGGGGCTTTTATATCTTCCAAAAGTTTTCTGTGTAAGTTATCCCACACCAACCAAACACTGTATTTTCTCAATCATGAAATTTGCATATTGAATGACTTCCAAATCATAGAGGAAATGTTTTAATCTCTGGCTTCCATAGCCATCTTGTTTTATGAGAAAAAAGAAAAAAATATTTTGATATTCTAAAATAACTTTTTAGAATGGAAAATGCATACCTTTACATGTTGTATAACCATCACCCTTGTACTGAACACCGTTCACAACATGGCACTCACAAACTCTTCCCTTGAATGTATCCTGTACAGTGGCCTTTGAAGCCGAACCCTGAAGTGTTGTTGTCTTAATTGACTGGGTCCACTACGGTTTCTAATACTGAGTGCAGTTTTCATGTAACTTCAAGTATACTAGCAGCAGGTTTAGCCACAAGTCCTGTAATCCCTAATGCAACTCCTTCAATAAAGAAAGAGGTAAAAGGAAAGCATGGTCAGTAGCCAAGCAAAGAGAATATCTCATCTCAAACAACAATTGCGATTGGAAATTCTTAATGTTGCCTGAAATATTTAAGAAACTTGTAAACAACTAGTATTATTATTATGCTTAACTCTTAACTGTTGAAGTGTTCTTTGTATTTTAGGATCAAATTCATACAAAATACCAGGATTGCTCATAGTCATATAACAAGATCACTCAAAGGTTAAGAGAAGGTAAAAATTCAAAAGTCAACCAAAAGTCAATAGAAAGCCTAAAAAAAATCAAAACAGTAACATAAAACTCAATTGACAAAATCTCTGGACCAAAACACTCCTAAAATCATGAAAAACAACCAGAAAAATTGGCAAGGCAAAATTCAAAGTGAAACTATATGAACCACTCAAGAAAAGATTGAAAAGAATTTATATACAATAGCAGAAAATAGAAACTGCAAGCAGAAAATAAAATAGAAAAATAGTAAACAGAAACAAAATTTGACTGTCTAAGAAAACAATGTGATGATAACAAAATTCTGTTTTACAGCAACAATTGAATTACTGTTCCATTTTTTTTTTCCTGCTACTAGAATTTCCAATTCTCCTCTGGTTGGTCTTGTTGCATATGCAGAAAGGAATAACACACACAAAGATAACAAAATACAAGGACTTAATTTCACTAAACACAATAGAATGCAAGTGGTGGAAATCAATGTTCTTGTAGCAGCAAAACTGAAACAGACCCACTAAAACAGAACACAGAACATTGAAACAAATTTAAAATTCTCTCTGCTCAAATTGCTGGACCTGCAACTATGAACAAGCAACAAAACACAGCAAAATATATGTATCCACAGAGAACAGAGAACTAAACAACAGAATGACCAATACTAATACTTCGACCACAAACTAATTTCAACAATAAACTGAAACAAAGAAAAGAATATCCGAACCAATGTAATGCTTTTTCTATATGTAAATGGCTTAATGAGCCTAAATCTGACTAAACATGGCCTGGCCCAAAAGCTTAAGTGGCTAATACACTAATTACAATTCATTAAGTCCTAATCTAAAAATCTGCCTAGGGCTGCAATTTTGTAAGCAAAATTCTACATCCTTAAAGTTTGAACTGGGTCTTTCGTCCAACACAGAAGTTTCAAATCTTTTTGTTATCTTTCCAACGACACCAAGAACGTCCAAATCCAAGGTCTGTAGCTCCAGATATGGCCTGCACAATAAAACTGTACAAAACTGGAAAAATACGAAAATTAACTAAAACTAAGAACTAATGTCTAAATTGACTTATTAAATCAAAACAAATCTAAAAATAACAAAATAGCATCAACACCAGCCTAAAATACTATAAACCAAACATAAAAGAATGAGTAAAAATATATCTATCAAGGGATTAGGAAGGAGGCCGTCGAGTTAGTGCAGTGGTTCAAGATGGAGGGGACCGCGGGTGAGGCGAGCGGGGTGCGGTGAAGATGGAGGCACGACACAGTGGCCCAAATGGAGGGCTCGACATCGGCAGTTCACGGGGGCGATGGTGGTCGTGGGTACTCACGGAAGCTGGTTGGCCAAATGTGAAGTTAGGGGATGCTGGATGTAGCTACTTGAATCAGGGAGAGGGGTTTGGCTCGAGATGGAGAAGAAATGGGTGAGGGTACGGAGGACGGTGGTGGGGTGCGCGGGTTGAGCTTGGAAGTGAGGTGAGGCAAAATGCAGAGAAAAAGATAGGGTTCTTCTCGTAGGTGAGTGGCTGGGAATGGGAAATGGAGGTGAGGAGTAGGGTTGAAGGAGATGGTGAGAGCAGAGGATGGAGGCTGCGACGGAGAGAAAAATGAGGGTTAGGGCTGCGAGGCTGAATGGGAGTGGGGCTGTACGTGGAACTCAAAATCTGAATTCTATAATTTTATATAATTATTATTATAAATTTAATTTTTTAATAACTAAAATTTTATTTGAATTTTTTTTATCTTTTTAATCTTTTTTTTCATATTTTAAGAATAAATATTATTATTCATTATCATTATTTTATTTTTATCTATTCGGATGAAATTGAGTGTTGACAATAGGGATAATGAGTTACTTGGAAATGAGGTGGGTGTTAGCTGTTTAGGGTGCAGAAGAGCAAGGACAGGAAAAAGATGAATGGTGGATGATGAGGTGGTGACGGTGAGTTAGGGTGACATGGATGGATGCGAGTATAACAAGGTGGTGCGATAGGTGTAGTTGGATGGTTGGTTGGTAAGAATGACTAAGCAACGAGGAATGGAGGTGCAGTGGTTCAATGGTGTGATTATTTGAGAAAATTTGATTTGTGGTGAGGTGGAAGATAGGATTTTTAGGTTAAACTAAAATTAGGACAACTAAATTATTATTATGGGTTAAAGCTCAAATAATAAAAAAAATATAATTAAATAAAAGAAAAAATATATACTTTAGTATTTTTATTTTCAAATATTAGTTTTTTGATGAAATTAATTTTAATTAAAGTGATATATATAAATTTATTTATTTTTTATTTTTTATTTATTAATATTATCAAATTTTAGTTTCATAATTAAAAAAATTACTAATAATTTAAATTTTATTAATTCTATAATTTTTTATAATTATTTTTATAAATTTAATTCTCCAATAATTGATAATATTAACACATTTATTAAATTAAAATTCTTTATTTTAATTAATTATTTTAAATTTTTTAACAATATTTTTTAAATAAAAACGATAAAGTTTAAAATTAATTTTTAACTAAATCTTCACATATTTATTATTAATATTATATTATATTATTATATTTAATTAAATTTTAAAATAAGTTCCCTTAATCTTTACACTTTTATATAAAAATACTAATATGAATTTAAAATAATTATCCAACTATTAAATTATCTAATATATTAATATAAATTTAAAAATATCAATTCAGTAATTAAAATAATTTTAATTTTTTTATAAATACATTGAAATACATCTTTATTAAAGAATAATATATATATATATATATATATATAAAAAGAGACTAAATTAATAATTAATTTAATAATTGATTATATATATAAAAAATACTAAATTAATAATTAATTTAATAATTAATTCAATAATTGATTTAGTGATCTGAATTGGTGATCGAATTAGTGATCGAATCGATGATCGAATCAATGATCGAGTGATCGATATGGTGACTAATTTAATAATCAATTTTAATTTTTTTATTCACACACTAAATTAAAAAATAAAATTAAATAATTATATTACTAAATTATTTATAAGTTAGTAAACTATTTTTTAAAATTTTTATAATATTATTAAAAATGTTATTAATTATTTTAAATTATTAAGTAGATTTATATTTAACATTTTATTAAAATATTTTTAAAAAATATTATATAAATAAAAAATAGTCACCAATTTACAGATTATTTGTTTAGTGACTGAATTCTAGTCACTAAATATAAAAAGAGAAATCGATTACTAATCCGAGTTACTATTATAACTGAATTTTTCGATCACTAATTTCGGTCACTATTAACCTTTTTTTAGTAGTAATCGAATCAGTGACCAATTCGATGATCGAATCAGTGACCAATTTTTGTGACCGAAATTTTAGTCACTAAATCAGTCACTAAATATAAAAAGGAAAATCATTCACTGATTCGATTACTTATCGATGATTGAATTTTTCGATCACTAATTTCAAACACTATTAACTATCTTTCTAGTAGTTATGAAATATGTAAACTTATTTATATTATATTTTGTTAGAAATACTCGTTGGAGAATAATGTGTATTGAATTTTGTGGTAGAGAAATTCCTGAACTTTAGGATTCAATCGTTGAATCTTAGTTTTTATTAAATTACTTTTAGCTAAACACATTATCAAATTGTGTTTATATGTTATTAAAATAAATAAAATATAGATTATACATATTATAAAGTTTTATTTTTAATAAATAGGTTAACTTTGAATAATTATTATATTATATGCATTTAGATTATCAATTTTACTATAATGACAAAATTATTTTTACAATTATCAAAGTAATTTAAATAATAGATTATTTAATTATTAATTATAAAATTATTAAAAAATAATTTATAAATAATAGTTAAAATTTTGATTCATTAATAAAATATTTAAAAAATAGTAATTCAATCAATTTTTGCGGTTCTTATACATCCAAAAAGTTTTTAATGAATATAGAATTTTGTGAGTTTTAAATTGTTAAAATATAATGAATAATCATAAAATAAATGTGAAGTTTGTAATATTTTGAAATTGTAAAAAATGTTAAATGAAAATAAGAATATATTAATATTTTATAATGGATTTTAATTGATGATAATTTCATTTTCTTTTTTGGCACAAATACCAGCGTTTAAAGAATACTTGCAATTCGTTTTTGACATATAAAAATCTGAGGTTTATTTTAAATGTCACTTTGTAACGATTTTTACCTTTTAAAATCTATAATTTTATCCATCATATTTTTAATATATATATATAAAGAAAAACATATTTTTTAACACAAGGAATGTATTATCATTTTTAGTTGTCAACGGAGATAACTGTAGTTTACTCTCGTAAAAATTACTATAACTTATCAGACATTAAATAATGTAATAATGTCATTTAATATTGAAAAAAATATATTATTGATAAATTAAGATGCATTTAAGAAATATTATAAATGTAGGACATTAATTTAATATGAACTGTAGTAAAATGATTTAAATTAATTAATTAATTATATTCAGTTTAATAAATATAATATTTAATAGCATTTTGTAATTAATTTTAGTCATTCATATATATATATATATATATATATATATATATATATATATATATATATATTAATGCATTGTAATAAATATCCCATTTATTCAATAATTACCTTTCTGAAATAGTTCTCTGTATGCTACAAACCACAAATGCAAATAATTACAATGCAATAAATTTAATGAATACAGTATTTAATAACAATATTAAATTCATTTAATATTTCAATTAATAAATATAGCATGATGTTATTAATTTTCCTTTATTTATATGTATTGATGTATGATTTGAAAAGCATTTGCATCGAATACCTTTTGTATGTGGGGACATTTTATAAAAAAAATATTTATATAATTTTTACAACATGATTTACACATGATTTAAAAATCGACCATCAAAGATGAATTTGTATTCACTGGAAGCACCACTCTGATCATTATATTAAATATAATTTTGTATATTTTGGACGCATCTTTCATTTTTGGAATATAATTTGCTGAATATATTGTTTACAGTATAAAAACATGTGTGATTTTCTTGCATATGTTTGATAACAATGAAAAGAAAATATAAGAAAATAAGATAAAATAAAAGATAACAGAAAAATATAAATATTTGTGTTGAAAGGAGGTTATATAAAAACTTATTTTAATAATACAAAATTAATATTTATACAATTATAAAATTATGCATATGATTATTAGTTTTTTTTTATTAAACAAATATTTTTTAAAATGTATAATTATAAAATTATTATGTAATTATTAGTATATATATTTAAATATTTATATTTAATAATTAGGAGAATCAATAGTTTTTATTAAAGAAAATAATTTTGTAAAATAACTATTTTTTATAATTTTTATGAAAAAATAATGTAACGTGATAAATATTTATATATATATATATATATATATATATATATATATATATATTCTTGTTACTATTGAAAAGTATTTTATTTTATTTTATTTTTCACTTATTTTCTTATGTCGCATGTGGAAAACTGGCTCCATCTTGGTAAATCCAATTTTCATTATTAAAATGTGAAATAATTTGATAAAATAATATATGATTTTAATATTTATACATACACCACATTTAACTATATACTGGATTTGACTTTGGTTTTTGGTGATGATATGTAAAATGAAAATTGTGGGCTAAATATTATATTGTCTTAATGAAAAAGCTAGTTGACTCTTTTGAAGATAAAGTTAAATTTAAAACGTTTTGTCTTTTTCTTTCCCTTCTTCAATCTTTCGTGTTCCATTGCACGTGCCAACACACGTAGAAAACTTAGGAAACATCTACCCATCTATAAATTTCAATTTATTTTTTGGTTTTTACCTACTTTTGATCTTCATCCTATCAAGCCATCACTCACTTTTCAGCATATATTCACTCCCAATCAACTTTTCTTTTTATTTTTCCTGGTGAGAAACACTTCTTCAATGCTTTTATTCATGTTTGGCAATCTGAGAAAAAACTGAAGTCTTTGAAAACCTTCCTTGATTGCTATTTCCCAAATTATCTTTACCTTGTGTGGTATATATTGTTCCAGCGCAAATTGTTTTACATTCCATAAATTTACTTCTAAATTATTTACCCGTTTTGTGGACAAAACCTGTTCACATTTCCACTTATTCTTCCTTTGACATTTTGAGTTTTATAACTTTTGTCAAATTCACCCGTGTGGAGACAAATCCGCACGTGTGAACTTCCCCTTTAAGCCCTTGTGAATTGGCATATAAAATCATGCTAAGAGTTCACTTGTTCACAAAGAGTAAAAAAAGGGAGGGGGTTTTACTGTGTGCGGGTACATTTCCTTACTAGGGTTGAAAGAATGAGTAGTTCAAAGTTGAGTGAGTCAGATCGTGGTCAACAAAGTATTTACCATTGCCGTCATCGTCATGATCCTGAAACAGTAGCTAGACTCGAAGAGTAAGATCATCGGTCCTCTATTCTTGTCTTTTTTTTTGCTGTCTTAATTTTAATGAAGTCCTGTTTTAGGGTTCAAATGATGGGAAAGGTGTAAAGCTTCGGTGAGTGTTCTAGGAAGCCTATGCTGACACTTAAATTTCATAATTTAATTTTTATTTTTAGACGTGAAATCATATACAAATTCCTATTTTTTAATATGAGATTTTTTTAAATATTAACTATTTTATAATTTTGGTAGAAAAAAACAATGAAAACTAGTATAAATTAATAACATAACCTATTCTGTCTTGTAGGGATTGAAAAACATAAATAGCACATATTAATTAATTAAGTAGAAAAAAAAAGATGAAGCGTTTAATAATTAAAAAATACTTTCTTTGTTTTAAGACTGAATTAAGTATTTTATTATTAATAAAAGCACTTAATTTAGGTAATAATGTTATAAGTGTCTAAAATTTATGTTTTTCTAAAATCACCCTATGTTAATGAGAGATACTCCTATCCTTATATTTTCTTTTCCAAATATCTTTACTAGTTTTACATCTTTCAGTCTCCCCCACCATTAATACATGATGATTAGAAATACATGAAAAAATATGGTTTCCAGATTATTAAGAAATTTTAAAGAAAATAATCAATTTATTAATAATATTTATTATTATTATTATTGTTATTAGGTAAACCAAGATACCCAATGCTCTTTATATTAGACTACAAGTTGTAGTGTTTGGAAGAGAAGAAGAAAACAAATAGAGGAAGGAAGTAGATGATTGAAGAAAATAAGAGAAATAAATAAAAATATATAACAAAAATTATTTATTTAGATAAAGAGAAATGTATGTAAATTAACTTTCTTTATTATTGTCAACTATTATTGGTTGTTTTCAGTGATATCAAATAGTCAATACTGTCACATTTTGCTCCTCCATTTGCAACCTACCAAACAGTGCTAAATTCTTAATGAGCTTAAAATTTTTACACAAGCTAATCAAATTATATATATAGTAGTATTGGTTGATCTTTGATTTGTTTGTTTCTGGGTTAAAAAGTCTACTGCTTATTTATCATGACGGATTCATATCTCATTCTACCTTTCATACCTTGCGGCAGCTTGTATATATGCTCAAACATCTGTACAGTTATTGTTTGAATAATGTGCACACCGCCTGCAATTTAGCCTTTTCTACGTCACTCTAGTTCCTTACATGATATGGAAGTATGTAACAAGAAAAAAAAAAAATCATGATTTGAATACAAAATCTTTAAAGATGTCACTGTATATACATTTACCAAGTATCAAAATTTGACTTTAAACTCCCATTGCAGTTGTACATATAAAAGATCTTTAATGTTTTTTTTTTTTTTTTTGTTTTAACTCACATCGCAATTCCATTTATAGTTGCATCAATTCATTGGTTAGGAATTTTTACAGTACTAAATCTTTTGAAGAATTCTAAAATGCGAATTTTACAGTACTAAATTTAGATATAAATTTATAAGTGCTTTTATAGTTGTTCTCTAATAATATTTTTAATTTTACTTCAATAATCTATGTATGAAGATTAATATTAAATGTGAACATACCGAGGTAAAACTCGATTGAAGGTGTCATCTGTGTGCATCGCATATATATACATGGCACAATTTGATGTTTTTGGGACTAAGATGGGTACTGTTTTTCACCCTGCAGGTAGGAAGGTAGATACAAAGGGATTGGGAACATGTTGGTCGGTTACTGTTTATGTTTCCTGTATAAGGGTTCGGTATATTTAATAAATTTTCTTTAGCCGACAAACATATAAAGACATATAAAAAAACTGCATATAAGTTTTATCCCAGCATATCTATATTCATAGAGACATATAATATACAATCCAAAAGGTAGAGCTGGTGCTCGAGCTGAACACGTGCTCAATGGTTTGGTGATTCCTCAGAAGTTTAAATTTAATTAGTTTTCTCAATTTCCTTGGCTTGTGACCCCTAAGTTTCTTTGTGATGTCTTATCTTTTAGATTTATAGACATAATTACATATCTTTCATGTGTTTATTGATATAATTAATATATCAAAGGAAATGCTTTCGTGCTTTCTTGTGTCCTTATAATTATGGGTTTCTTTCATCTATTGCTCGTACCTTTGCTCCAAAACCTTGATACATGAATACTTTTTGGTATTCCATTTTTAACACTCTCTAAATACTGTTGACAACCTAATTGATATTGCCTTTATGCAAAATAGAATCTTCAAAGAATGCTCACATCCGGACGAAACACGACGACGTCAAATAGGAGAGGAGCTCGGGCTTGATGCTAAACAAGTTAAATTTTGGTTTCAGAACAAGAAGACACAATTAAGGGTAGTATATATATTGCTTTTCATGATACTTCATTTTTAAGGACAATTACATGCTTAGCAAGTTTGTAACAATATACTGACTATTTTGTACATTGATTAATTCGTGCAATTTTCAGACTAAAAGTGAGCGATTAGATATCAATGCTCTTCGTCTTGAGAACGAAAGAATACAATCAGAAAACCGCATAATGAGTGAGACTTTGAAGACTGTAGCTTGCGCACCTTGTGGGGGTCGAGCCATGGGACCAGAGGAGAGAGAACTTTATTTGCAAATCTTGAAGGTAGAAAATATTCTATTAATCAAAGAGGTTAGTGAACAATATATTTAATTGATTGTTTCTCTTCTGACGTGAATCACCCACACACTATTATGAATTATTTTTCAGTGTGAGAGAGTAGTCTCATTTATGGCAAACAATGGGATGAATCCATCACTACTTCCTGCAATTCCATCTTCTTCTTCTTCTTCACTTGATACCTTACGAGCAAGTTTGCTAAATCAAACGGTTGGAACTTCACAGAATCAACTCATTCCTAATCAGGATCCTCACATTCCTAATCATGATGAATATATTCCTTCTCCTGATCACCCTATTCCTGCTCCTGCTCAACAAAATATTCCAGCAGTTCAAGATATTCCTGCTGCTACACCAGCCCTTCCTCGGGATGTTCCTAGTCTTACTCATGACCATAATCAAGATATTCCTGCTCCTGCACTTGATCAACATGCTACTACTTTTACTGATACTTCTCCCGCCAATCTTGATCCATTTCTCAATCAAGATGATTCTCTTTTGATTTCTTGTCTTGAATATAATATTCCAGCTTTGGTTACTTCTCTTGAGCATAATATTCCCACCCTGGTTTCTACACATGATCAAAATAACAACGATCCCATCGTTGAGAAACAAATTGAAGGGCCTAAGCATGAAGTTCATTCTGTTACTCCTACCCTAAATCAAGATATTCTACCTCCTGGTCAAGATATTTCGCCCCTTCGTCAGGATCATACGCCATCTCTTGATCTTGATCTTGATGCGATACTTAAAATTTTGAACTGCGATTTGGTATCCCAACCAACGACCAGCCAAAGTAAAGATACGGAAAACGCACGAATGTTGAAGATTGCGAATAATGCAATGGAAGAGTTGATGAAACTCTTAAGTATGAACGAACCCTTCTGGTTCAGGTCTCTAGTGGATGAGAGATTCATTCTTCAGCGTGATTGCTACCAAAGGATATTTCGTAGGAGTAATTACTTAAACGGACCTCATGCTCGAGTAGAGTCTTCGAAAGATTCACGAGTAGTAAAAATGAGTGGGACGGAGCTTGTGGAAATGTTTTTAAATTCGGTTAGCACTTTAATCACACAATTCTTTCAAACATTTTATTGGTTATCTACATATTTGAAATATTAATACTCTTAAAATATTTGATATTTTAAGGACAAATGGGTTGATCTATTCCCAACAATTGTTAAAAGCGCCCAAACAATTGAAGTACTAGAAAGCGGTTCGTTAGGAAACCGAAATGGCGCTTTGCAGTTGGTATGCTTTTCCTAAACACCTTACTTCATGTGATTTTGCTATAATCTCTTTGGATTAGGCGATAAGTCAAGATTCTATGTGCAGATGAAAGCAGAAATGCACATTCTTTCACCTTTGGTTCCAATTCGGGAATTCCACTTCCTTCGTTATTGTAAACAAATTGAAGCAGGTGTATGGACCATAGGGGATGTGTCAATTGATTCTTCTACACACAAAACCTCTACTGTTTCTCGCGCTCGGAGGTTTCCATCTGGATTACTCATTCAAGAAATGACTGAGGGATTGTGCAGGGTTAGTTAGTAAATTACATTAACAGTGACTAGTTTGTTAATTTACAACTTTTTTTTTTCTTTTTCTTATTTTCATCTCACACCTGACAAAATCAATTTTCAGTTACATTCATAAAGCAGAATAACTAAATATAGAAATGTTTACTTATGCTCAAAACGAATAAATGCCACTTATATATTCTTGTTACAAGGTGAGTAATAATCATTTATGACCTATATATATGTAGCATGGAGATCCATCAAGTAGTAATCTTCCATCCTTGCTTTTGAGAATTAAGTGCATTGTACTAATATCTCGAGAGAAGTTTTGAACAATATACTTTTCAAAAGAAGTTAGTGTTGTCTTCACTCAATGCCGCATTGTTGAAAGATGATACAAATTCTAGAAATATTTAGAATATAAAATCTTAGATGTTACTAGAATTAGGTATTACATATGAGTAATATTTAGAATTCTTAGAAGATTCTAGAAATGTTTGAAAGTAGAAGATAGATAATTATAGAATTAAGAAAATCTAGAATTATGTAAAACTTCTAGAATTATGTAGAAAACATATGTGTACTAGTAGAAGCTACAACATGATTCTAGAAAAAGAAAAAGAAGAAGAAATGTGTAGAAATAGAATAGTGTAGAAACAATGAAATTAGTAGAAAATTCTAGAATCTTGTAAGTAAAGCCTATAAATAGGCATGAAGGGAGTCTTTGTATGGGTGGAAAATCTAATACAAGCTCTTACATATCTTGTAACACTTCTAACATCAATTACTATCTTTCCTCATACAAACCTTCTCCTATTTGTCCACCTCTTTCTAAAAACTATTTTCTACACAAATCTCACTACTAAACATCAAACTATCTTTCATATCCTTCCTAAAATACTAACAGTGGTATCAGAGCTACGTTCGGTCACCTATTGGGCGTAGAGGAAAATTTTCGACTACCTTTAAAAATCCAATCCCACTCTACATTACTTCCAAAAGAAAATTCCAACCTATGACCACTACCAACCAAACATCATCCATTCCAGTCCCTATTTTCAAGGGAGAAAATTATGATTTTTGGAGAGTCAAAATGAGGACATTTTTTTGTTCTCAAGATCTTTGGGACGTCATTGAAGATGGGTTTACTATTCCAGAAGACATCTCAACTCTTACAGCTGCCCAGAGGAAGGAGCTGAAGGAAAACAAACAGAAAGATTCAAGGACATTATTCACTCTTCAGCAAGCAGTTGATGACACTATTTTTCCAAGAATAATGGGTGCCACAAGTGCAAAGGAAGCTTGGAATACAATTCAGGAGGAGTTTCAAGGAAGTGATGAGGTACGCAATATTAAACTCCATTCTCTAAGAAGAGAATTTGAGTTAATAAGAATGAATGAATCTGAGACCATAAAAGACTATTATTCTAGAATAAAAGAAATAGTTAGTCAGATGAGAGCCTATGGGGAAAATATTCTTGATAAGAAAATTATTGAGAAAATTCTAATTTCTATTCCCCAAAAATATGATGCAATTGCAACTGCACAAACAAAAGATTTATCTACATTATTAGTGACACAACTAATAGGCTCTCTTGAAGCATATGAACAAAAATTGAAAAGGCGTGAAGAAGACTCAGTCGAAAATGTCTTTCAATCAAAACTAAAATTACGGTCTCAAAATGGAGGAAATAAAATTAATAGAGAACTTTCTAAGAATAAGGAAAATTCTAGAAAGTTTTCCAAGACTATTCAAGGAAAATATCCTCCATGTGGCACTTGCAAAAAGACAAGTCACTTGGAAAAATATTGTTGGCATCGAGGAAAACCTCAATGTCAATATTGTAAGAAATTTGGACATCTAGAAAAAATGTGTCGCAACAAAAATCTTCAACAAGTAAATTTTTCCGAAGAACGGGACAGAGAACAACATCTCTTCTATGCTACGGGATGTTCTGACAATGAATCAAAAGGAAGATGGTACTTGGACAGCGGGTGTAGTAACCATATGGCGAATGATCTAAGCATCTTCAAAGAAATTGATAACTCCATCACAGTTCAAGTACGATTGGGAAATGGCACCATGGTAGAGTCAAAAGGAAAAGACAGTGTTATGGTGGAGACCAAGAAAGGTATGAGACTTATCAATGATGTCTTACTAGTTCCCAATCTTAAAGAAAATCTCTTAAGTATTGGTCAAATGATGGAGAAAGGATATACTCTTCACTTCGAAAGAGATACATGCATTATCTATGATAAGAAAAATCTAGAGATTGGCCAAGTAAAAATGGACAAGAGAAATAGAAGTTTTCCTATAAGCTTCAATCGAGGAACTAACATTACCATGAAAGTAGAAGTTGATAACTCGTTGTTATGGCATCGTAGATTTGACCACTTAAATACTCATGCCTTAAAGCTACTACATCAAAAAGACATGATGAGAGATCTACCAAGCCTTAAGGAAAGTAGTGAAGCTTGTGAAGGATGTCTTCTGGGAAAGCAACACAAATTACCATTTTCTACGGGAAATACTTGGAGAGCAAAAGACTTGTTGGAGTTAATCCACACAGATATTTGCGGACCGATGAGGACTCCATCGCTTAATAACAACAGATACTTCATTCTTTTCATTGATGATTTTTCTAGAATGACTTGGGTCTACTTCATTAAAGCAAAATCAGAAGTCTTTGGAATATTCAAAAAATTTAAGGCCCTTGTCGAAAAGCAAAGCAGAAAACAGATAAAGGTTCTCAGGAGTGATCGAGGCAAAGAGTACACCTCCCACGAATTTGATAAATTCTATGAGGATGAAGGTATTGAGCGACAACTTACAGTCACATATTCTCCACAACAAAATGGTGTCTCAGAGAGAAAAAATAGCACTGTCATGGAGATGGCAAGATCAATGTTGAAGGAGAAAGGCTTGCCAAATACGTTTTGGGCAGAAGCAGTTTACACTGCTGTATATATACTCAATAGATGTCCAACTAAGGCAGTTCAAAACAAGACTCCTATATATTGAATCTTGGAGTGGAAGAAAACCATCAGCTAAACACCTACGAATATTTGGATCAATTTGCTACATACATGTTCCTGATCAGAGGAGGCATAAACTTGAAGACAAAACTATAAGAGGAATATTCTTGGGATACAACCAACAATCAAAAGGCTATCGAGTCTACAACCTACAAACAAAGAAACTCGTCATCAGTCGAGATGTTGAAGTTGGCGAAAATGCTTTTTGGAATTGGAAAGAAGAAAAAGTTGTTAGAAGCAACATCCTGGTTCCAGTACAACAACCTGAAGAAGAAACAGGAGATCCAGGTACGCTTTCTCCACCTCCACAAGAAGAAGAAGAATATACTTCACCAGAGTCTACACCAAGACATGTAAGATCTTTGGTAGATATATATGAAACTTGTAACATGATCATCATTGAGCCTTCCTGCTATGAAGAAGCTTCAAAGCAAGAAGTATGGGTCAAGGCCATGGAAGAAGAAATCAAAATGATTGAGAAGAATAATACTTGGGAGCTTGTGGACTGTCCTCACGAAAAAGATATCATTGGAGTAAAATGGATATATAAAACTAAGCTCAACCCTGATGGAACCATACACAAATATAAGGCAAGATTGGTCGCAAAAGGATACTCACAGCAACCTGGGATCGACTACAATGAGACTTTTGCTCCAGTTGCTCGTCTGGAGACAATTAGAGCTTTAATAGCCCTTGCTGCACAAAAAGGTTGGAACATCCATCAACTGGATGTCAAATCTGCCTTTCTCAATGGAACACTTGAAGAAGAGATCTATGTTGAACAACCACAAGACTTCATCAACAAAGGCCACGAAGGAAAAGTAATAAGACTAAGAAAAACTCTATATGGCCTGAAGCAAGCTCCTCGAGCATGTTATAGTAAGATTGATAAATATTTTATCGATCAAGGATTTAGGAGGAGCAAGAGTGAGCCAACACTTTATATCAAGACACAAGGTCAGTATAATATCATTGTCTCCTTATATGTTGATGATCTCATCTATACAGGAAACAATAAGGAAATGATGAAATAATTCAAAGAAGATATGATGAAAACATTCGAAATGACTGATCTTGGCTTGATGAACTACTTCCTCGGGATAGAGGTGATACAACAAAAAGAAGGAATATTTATCTCTCAAAAGAAATATACTGAAGCTCTACTAAAGAGATTCAAGATGTACGGATGTAAACCTGTCACTACTCCTTTGGTGGTAAATGAAAAGCTAAAGAAAGATGATGGAGCACCAGAAGTAGATGTATCACGATATAGGAGTTTGATCGGAAGCCTTCTATATCTCACAACTGCACGACCAGACATTATGTATGCTACAAGTCTTTTGTCAAAATTCATGCAAAAGCCAAGTCAGATTCACTATGGAGCAGGAAAAAGGATTTTAAGGTATCTGCAAGGCTCAAGAGAGTTTGGTATATGGTACAAGACCATGACCAACTCAAGGATGATTTGCTACACCGACAGTGATTGGGCAGGATCAATAGACGACATGAAGAGTACGTCAGGATACACCTTCTCACTTGGATCGGGTTTTTTCTCATGGGCATCAAAGAAGCAAGCAACTGTGGCACAATCAACAGCTGAAGCAGAATACGTAGCTGCTGCTGAAACTACAAGTCAAACAATATGACTACGAAGAATACTTGAAGAAATGGGCGAACCACAAGATGGACCAACTATTATCTATTGCGACAACAAATCAACAATAGCAATGACGAAGAATCATATTCATCATCAAAGAACAAAACATATAACTATTAAATATCACTTCATCAGAGAGGCTGAAGCGACTAAACAAATTCAACTTGAGTACTGTACTACAGAAGATCAAATTGCAGACATATTCACCAAGACACTACCAAGAGCCAAGTTTGAACAATTACGTTTCATGCTTGGAGTTACAAGAATTTGCATCAAGGAGGAGTGTTGAAAGATGATATAAATTCTAGAAAGATCTAGAATATAAAATCTTAGATGTTACTAGAATTAGGTATTACATATGAGTAATATCTAGAATCCTTAGAAGATTCTAGAAATGTTTGAAAATAGAAGATAGATAATTATAGAATTAAGAAAATCTAGAATTATGTAAAACTTCTAGAATTATGTAGAAAACATATGTGTACTAGTAGAAGCTACAACATGATTCTAGAAAAAAAAAATGTGTAGAAATAAAATAATGTAGAAAATTAGTAGAAAATTCTAGAATCTTGTAAGTAAAACCTATAAATAGGCATGAAGGGAGTCTTTGTATGGGTGAAAAATCTAATACAAGCTCCTACATATCTTGTAACACTTCTAACATTAATTACTATCTTCCCTCATACAAACCTTCTCCTATTTGTCCACCTCTTTCTAAAAATTATTTTCTACACAAATCTCACTACTAAACATCAAACTATCTTTCTTATCCTTCCTAAAATACTAACACGCATTGTTTTATATAGTATTTTTTAATCTTCACCATATCCTTTTCTATCTATGCCCCCAAGAGAATGCTAGCTAGTTTAAAAAACCTTTTTTAAATTTTGACAGGTTTCTTGGGTGGAGCACGTGGAAGTGGATGATAAGATCCAAACTCACCAGCTTTTCAGAGATCTTATTTGTGGCAGTAATGCATATGGAGCAGAAAGGTGGGTTTTGGCACTTGAAAGAATGTGTGAGAGGTTTGCAAGTGCCTCAGCTGATACCATACCCGGTTGTGAGGCTGGAGGAGGTTGGTTACTCGTTGATTTCTTCGCTCCAAACCCTACTTCTTCTCATTTTTAATTTGTTTTTTTGTGATCTATTATTATTTGTTCACATCTGAAGTCTATGCTATTCGTTTTTCCCAGTGATTAGGTCACCTGACTCAAGAAGGAATGTAATGCACCTGACTCGTCGTATGGTTAAGTCTTTTGGTGGAAGTTTGTGCATGCAAGATAACACAAACTTCCCACACCTAACCAGGATGAACAATGGTGGTATTAGGGTTGCCGTTAGAATGAACTTAACCGAGCCTGGTGAGCCTAAAGGCATGATTCTCAGTGCAGCTACCTCCTTTCGCCTTCCTCTCTCTCCACAAGATGTTTTTGACTACTTGATAGATGACAAGAAACGAGCTAAGGTTCAAACACTAAAATTATTAAGGATGTATTCAATTATTTCATAGTAAATTTTTTAACCTTGCTTGCATCGCAGAACCATTAACACTTCCATGTTATTTTCGTTGAAGTGGGATGTTCTATGCTCTGGAAATGCAGGGCACGAGATTCAACGCATCACTACTGGAAGTAATCCTGTAAACTGTGTTTCAATCATGCGTGTACGTCCTTGTTATTTCTATTTCAGTTTCATGTTTCACGTTTGCATGCTATATTTTGAACTAAATTAGTATGCTTTTCAATTATGTTTATATCACACAGAATACATCCCAAAATGTGTTTCAATCAGTGCCACTATGTTTTTTTTTTTTTATTGTGATGTTTATACATCAGCCTTTGATAATATTGTTGCAAGTTCACTTTATCTTTTGATAAAGATATTGCTCCGGATAGGTTACGTGCAACATATTATGGAAACTCACAAAATACGTGTTTCAGAGTCAATAAATATGAATCAAGGGAAATATTAAATACGCGAAAACTTTATCTCATTCTATCCCTTTTCCTTTTCAATCATATAAGCTATCACATCAATAACTTGTTTTCTCTATATTTCTTCATCATTCTTTCCATTTCAGCCTCCATTTTGAGACAAAAGTTTATATTTGATTTAATGTAATTAAAATAACATAGCGTATCTAGACCCTATATTTGAGGCATGCAAATCACTGTAAACATGTCTGTAGAAACGTTACTCCATAAACATTAAGGATGTGAAAGAAAAAAATAACGATATTTGATGCTCAAATTACCTAAATAAGTATATATATATTGTTACTTCAAGTAATTTTGATAATTTATTGAATAATGATACATCTACAAAAACTTATAATATATATATATATATATATTCATTATTTCCATTCTATAAAATAATCGTGTCTATTTTTGTTCTTCATATATCTCTTTCAAATTTTAAGTTTTATTTTACAGAATTTATACATATGAGAAGTATTATCCAAATTCATTTAAATTGTTCGTATGTCGCGCAGCCTTTCATCCCTAAAGAGAACAACCTAGTGATTCTCCAAGAAAGTTATGCAGATGCTTTGGGATCTATGTTGGTTTATGCTCCTTTTGATATGAGGGCATTAAGCTTCGTCATGAACGGAGAAGACACGTCACTGTTTCCGATTCTTCCATCTGGCTTCACCATATCTAGGGATGGCCAATCAGATGTTTCTGAAGAACAATCTGGTGGCTCAGGAGGTTCGTTGGTGACTCTAATGTTTCAAATTTTGGCCTCCAGCCCATCTAGAATGAGCATGGTAGACATTGAACTTGTTGCTAATGTTAATACTCTTGTGACCTCAACAGTAGAAAATATTAAAGGTGCTCTGAATTGTTCCGGTTCGCAGTAATATTTTTTCAAAGATGTACATTAATTTTGGAATAAATAAAACATGAAGTTTTTGTTCATGTTCTAATGTTTTCGAAAAGGATGATTATTTATTTGTAGTTAGTGTTTATCAATTATATATATTAAGTTAAATGATTTTATAAAGAGAAAGTTAGGCATAAGCAATCCTGAAGCTCTGCAGAATGTGAATTTGTTAGTATTTTAGGAAGGATAGGAAAAATGGTTTTTAGTAGTGAGATTTGTGTAGAAAATAGTTTTTAGAAAGAAGTGGACAAATAAGAAAAGGTTTGTATGAGAGAAGATAATAATTGATCTTGGAAGTGTTACAAGATATGTAAGAGTTTGTGTTAGTTTTCCACCACCATACAAAGACTCCCTTCATGTCTATTTATAGGTTTTACTTACAAGATTCTAGAATTTTCTACTAACTTCATTTTTTCTATACTATTCTATTTCTACACATTTCTTCTTCTTCTTCTTCTTTTCTTTTTCTAGAATCATATTATAACTTCTACTAGTAACTAGCATACACATATGTTTTTTACATAATTCTAAAAGTTTGTGTCAATTTTTAACACTCCTCCTTGATACAAACTTCTTTAATTCCTAGCATATTGCACAACTGTTCGAACTTTGCTTTCGGTAGTGCCTTTGTAAATATGTTTGCTACTTGTTCTTCTGTTGAGCAGTATTGACGTTGAATTTGTTTTGATGTTTCAGTTTCACAGATAAAGTGATATTTGATAGTTATATGTTTTGTTCTTTGATGATAAACCGAGTTCTTCGTCATTGTTATTGTTGATTTGTTGTCACAATAGATAGTAGTTGGTTCATCTTGTGGTTCACCCATTTCTTCAAGTATTCTTCGTAGCCATATTGCTTGACTTGTAGTTTCAACAACAACTACATATTCTGCTTCTGTGGTTGATTGTGCCACAGTTGCTTGCTTCTTTAATGCCCATGAGAAAAAACCCGATCCAAGTGAGAAGGCGTATCCTAACGTACTCTTCATGTCGTCTATTGATCCTGCCCAATCACTGTCGGTGTAGCAAATCATCTTTGAGTTGGTCATGGTTTTGTACCATATACCAAACTCTCTTGTATACCTTGCAGATACCTTAAAATCCTTTTTCCTGCTCCATAGTGAATATGGCTTGGCTTTTGCATGAATCTTGACAGAATACTTGTAACATACATAATGTCTGGATGTGTAGCTGTGAGATATAGAAGGCTTCCGATCAAACTCATTTATCGTAATACATCTACTTCTGGTGCTCCATCATCTTTCTTTAGCTTTTCGTTTACCACTAAAGGAGTAGTGACAGGTTTACATCCGTATATCTTGAATCTCTTTAGTAAAGCTTCAGTATATTTCTCCTGAGAGATAAATATTCCTTCTTTTTGTTGTATCACCTCTATCCCGAGGAAGTAGTTCATCAAGCCAAGATCAGTCATTTTGAATGTTTTCATCATATCTTCTTTGAATTCTTTCATCATTTCCTTATTGTTTCTTGTATAGATGAGATCATCAACATATAAGGAGACAATGAGATTATACTGACCTTGTGTCTTGATATAAAGTGTTGGCTCACTCTTGCTCCTCCTGAATCCTTGATCGATAAAATATTTATCAATTTTGCTATACCATGCTCGAGGAGCTTGCTTCAGGCCATATAGAGATTTTCTTAGTCTTGGTACTTTTCTTTCGTGGCCTTTGTTGATGAAGCCTTGTGGTTGCTCAACATAGATCTCTTCTTCAAGTTTTTCATTGAGAAAGGCGGATTTGACATCCAGTTGATGGATGTTGCAACCTTTTTGTGCAGCAAGGGATATTAAATCTCTAATTGTATCTAGGCGAGCAATTGGAGCAAAAGTCTCATTTAGTCGATTTCAGGTTGTTGTGATTATCCTTTTGCGACCAATCTTGCCTTATATTTTTGTATGGTTCCATCAGGGTTGAGCTTAGTTTTATATACCCATTTTACTCCAATGATATCTTTTCTGTGAGGATAGTCCACAAGCTCCCAAGTATTATTCTTCTCAATCATTTTGATTTCTTCTTCCATGGCCTTGACCCATACTTCTTGCTTTGAAGCTTCTTCATAGCAGGAAGGCTCAATGATGGCCATGTTACAAGTTTCATATATATTTACCAAAGATCTTACACGTCTTGGAGTAGACTCTGGTGAAGTATATTCTTCTTCTTCTTGTGGAGGCGTACCTAGATCTCCTGTCTCTTCTTCAGGTTGTTGTACTGGAACCAGGATGTTGCTTCTAACAATTTTTTCTTCTTCCCAATTCTAAGAAGCATTTTCGTCAACCTCAACATCTCGACTAATGACGAGTTTCTTTGTTTGTAGGTTGTAGACTCAATAGCCTTTTGATTGTTGGTTGTATCCCAAGAATATTCCTCTAAGAGTTTTGTCTTCAAGCTTATGCCTCCTCTGATCAGGAACATGTATGTAGCAAATTGATCCAAATATTCATAGGTGTTTAGCTTATGGTTTTCTTCCACTCCAAGATTCAATAGGAGTCTTGTTTTGGACTGCCTTAGTTGGGCATCTGTTTAGTATGTAAACTGCAGTGTAGACTGCTTTTGCCCAAAAAGTGTTAGGTAGGTCTTTCTCTTTTAGCATTGATTTTGTCATCTCCATGACAGTGCGATTTTTTCTCTCTCAGACACCATTCTGTTGTGGAGAATATGTGACTGTAAGATTTCGCTCAATAACTTCATCCTCACAGAATTTATCAAATTTGTGGAAGGTGTACTCTTTGCCTCGATCGCTCCTGAGCACCTTTATCTATTTTTCACTTTGCTTTTCAACAATGGCCTTAAATTTTTTTAATATTCCAAAAACTTCTTATTTTGCTTTAATGAAGTAGACCCAAGTCATTCTAGAAAAATTATCAATGAAGAGAATGAAGTACTTGTTGTTATTAAGCGATGGAGTTCTCATCGATCCGCAAATATCTGTGTGGATTAACTCCAACAAGTCTTTTGCTCTCCAAGTTTTTTCCGTAGAAAATGGTAATTTGTGTTGCTTTCCCAGAAGACATCCTTCACAAGCTTCGCTACTCTCCTTAAGGCTTGGTAGATCTCTCATCATGCCTTTTTGATGTAGTAGCTTTAAGGCGTGAGTATTGAAGTGGCCAAATCTACGATGCCATAGCCACGAGTCATCAACTTCTACTTTCATGGCAATGTTAGTTCCTCGATTGAAGCTTATAGGAAAACTTCTATTTCTCTTTGCCATTTTTACTTGACCAATCTCTAGATTTTTCTTATCATAGATAGTGCATGTATCTCTTTTGAAGTGGAGAATATATCTTTTCTCCATCATTTGACTAATACTTAAGAGATTTTCTTTAAGATTGAGAACGAGTAAGATATCTTTAATAAGTCTCGTACCTTTCTTAGTTTCCACTGCAACGGTACCTCTTTCTTTTGACTCTACTAGTGTGTCATTTCCCAATCGCACTTGAACTTTGATAGAGTTGTCAATTTCTTTGAAGATGCTTGGATCATTCTCCATATGGTTACTACACCCACTGTCCAAGTGTCATCTTCCTTTTGATTCATTATCAGAACACCCTGTAGCATAGAAGAAATGTTGTTCTCTATCCCGTTCTTCAGCAAAATTTGCTTGTTGATGATTTTTGTTGCGACACATTTTCTCCACATGTCCAAATTTCTTAAAGTATTGACATTGAGGTTTTGTTTGATGCCAACAATCTTTTTCCAGGTGGCTTGTCTTTTTGCAAGTGCCACATGAAGGATATTTTCCTTGAATAGTCTTGGAAAAATTTCTAGAGTTTTTCTTATTCCTAGAAATTCCTCTATTAATTTTATTTCCTCCATTCTAAGATTGTAATTTTAGTTTTGATTGAAAGGTATTTTCGACTGAGTCTTATTCACGCCTTTTCAATCTTTGTTCATATGCTTCAAGAGAGCCTATTAGTTGTGTCACCGATAATATAGATAACTCTTTTGTTTGTTCAATTGCAGTTGCAATTGCATCATATTTTTGGGGAATAGAAATTACAATTTTCTCAACAATTTTCTTATCAAGAATATTTTCCCCATAGGCTCTCATCTGACTAATTATTTCTTTTATTCTAGAATAGTAGTCTTTTATGGTCTCAGATTCATTCATTCTTATTAACTCAAATTATATTAGTGAATGAAGTTTAATATTGCGTACCTCATCGCTTCCTTGAAACTCCTCCTGTATTGTATTCCAAGCTTCCTTTGCACTTGTGACACCTATTATTCTTGGAAAAATAGTGTCATCAACTGCTTGCTGAAGAGTGAATAATGCCCTTGAATCCTTCTGTTTGTTTTCCTTCAACTCCTTCCTCTAGGAAGTTGTAAGAGTTGATATGTCTTATGGAATAGTGAACCCATCTTCTATGACGTCCCAAAGATCTTGAGAACAAAAACATGTCTTCATTTTAACTCTCCAAAAATCATAATTTTCTCCCTCAAAAATAGGAACTAGAATGGATGATGTTTGGTTGGTAGTGGCCATATGTTGAAATTTTTCTTTTGGAAGTAATGTGTAATGGGATTGGGTTTTTTAAGGTAGTCAAAATTTTTTCTCTACGCCCAGTAGGTGACTGAACGTAGCTCTAATACCACTGTAGTATTTTAGGAAGGATATGAAAGATGGTTTGATGTTTAGTAGTGAGATTTGTGTAGAAAATAGTTTTTAGAAAGAGGTGGGCAAATAGGAGAAGGTTTGTATGAGGGAAGATAATAACTGATCTTGGAAGTGCTACAAGATATGTAGGAGTTTGTATTAGTTTTCCACCACTATACAAAGACTCCCTTCATGCCTATTTATAGGCTTTACTTACAAGATTCTAGAATTTTCTACTAACTTCATTTTTTCTACACTATTCTATTTCTACACATTTCTTCTTCTTCTTTTCTTTTTCTAGAATCATGTTGTAACTTCTACTAGTAACTAGCATACACATATGTTTTCTACATAATTCTAG